TTGCTTTTTTAAAGTTAAAATTGAAACAAATTCTTAGCATGACTTCATATCAAATTCAGTTTTCAAATGTTAGCCATTTTAAAATCAATTTAAGAAATGATGTTTAAAACTTCGCAGAAACAATTTTCCCCCCATTGTATCTCCTATTCGAATCTTTTCTATGAACTGAACAGGGTCTCAAAGGTCACCCCCAGATACATCCCTAAAGTAGCAAAAATCCCAACACGCAAGCTTTAATTGGATATCCCGAATTTAAATGGATTTAATATCGGTGACTCTTTTATCTCCCTAATGAGACTAAATTATGTTGTAATTTGACTTAAAATTGACCACTGAGCCTTGAAATAAGTGTCTTTCCTTGTGAAATCCGCTAAATATAAATTTATAAACTAGGCCTCTTACATCATCAAGAAAAATGTTAATCTCTTCAAAGATTACTGAATTAGCCTCAATGGGATTGCCAGCAATAAACAATTTTTTAAGCCATTGAAGAATATGTGAATCATGCTTGATTCTTACAATGTTTTGTTGGTAAAAAAAATGATTGCATGCTTTAAGTCCCTAATAGTCATACTAAAGACAGTGAAACACATTCATGTCATGAGATTGTTATTTTCTCAAATTTTTGCCATGCAAGCCTTTAATATAATTACATTTTATGTCATCATGTACATGATGCAGTTTCCATGTGGGTGTTTAAAATTTTTCATTTCTGTGTAAGAAAATTATATTTTGATTTTAATCAGTTAAATATATCGATTTCAAATGAACCTGCAATACACCCGAGACCTACATTACATAATACACATGGACAGAATTCCATACCGTTATCTGAGAATGTGGGCACCGAAATTTACCTTTGGAATTTTCCTGTAATATAATTCTAGTAATATTAGTAGGTGTCTGTTGTTTAAATTTCCATCAATTTATAATAAACTGAAGTATTTCTTCCATACATGTTAACCCATTGTGATGAAAAATTGGGAGATTCCGTCCACGAAAGCGGTAGCATCGCGCGTTGTTTTACGCTTGGCTTTATGAAGATATATTGCATGTAATATACAAGTATGGTTTTACATGAAAATACAATTATTAATCTTTTATTATTAAATATCTATTGCAAAAAAATAGACAGAAACACATTAAGTTTGACATAAATTATACATGTACTTATTCAAATATTTTTTTATGTTCATCGTTTTGCTATGATTGGCTACTTAACTTGGCCTTTTGAATAGTGGTCTTTGCTTATATAACCAAGAAGCAATAATTCTGAATGTTCATTCCGTTGTCAAACACAACAAATGATGACAAAGTTTAATCTAGATCTAAAACTAGTCCCTATCTTTCGTTAAATAAATTGGATTTCCCGCGATGATCGAAAACGAAAGTAGAGATGTGCCTCATGGCTTGGTCAATCGAGTGATTTCTATTGACTTTATTGATTAAATTGCGAGCTCCTATGCTTTTATAGACGATGTCAAAGGTTTTTCATCCAATTCTAAAATGCTGTATCTCCTTTTTCATGGCACTAATGTCGACGAAATTTATCGTAACCAATGTAATCACTGATTTTGTTCTGTTGTCGTTGTCAAATACGTGCTTGAAATTTATGTACACATCGGTACAAAAAAAGCGTTTTTATGATTCCGGGTCAAATCACGTGATATCTAACGAGATTTCATGACGAGTGGCTTCAAAAATGGATACCCAAGCGAACCAAAAATACTTTAGATGAAATTTTTGTAGAAAAGCGGTAGATTTACACATAAAATCGGTAGGCGGGAGTTGGAGTAAAAAGGCGGTAGACTCCCGCCTAAATCGGTAGAGTTAACATGTATGATTTCTTCCTTAAAGAAAATTCAAACTTGAGAATGATCTTTTGAACAAGAAATGTACATTTGCGAGATATTCTCAATTGAGAACAGAACCCCTCATAGAAATAACAAATGCGTGGCTTCAAATCAACTTTCTTTGTGTCTGCGCCGTTTTACCAGTAGCCCTATATGTAAACATTACCATTTTCTCGCTCTTTTTTCCCCCGAATGTTTGCACAATTTTCTCTGTTTGCCATTGGCACCATATACCTGTCTGGATTTTTTCCTATTTTTTCTTGTTTACTAATGAAATCTCCATATTATCAGCGCGTAACAATGCCTCACACATAAAGTTACTAGGGAACATAAGGATCTGTTGTCCAGAGGGGTACTTAGATAAACTTTTGTTAAAGGGGAGATAATTTGTATCTGCTCTGTAAATATAAACAGAGAGGTGATAAAAGGGTTCTGAATAAACCCAGCCTTTTGACAAATGTGTCAAAATTGACTCAAAAATTTTTAAGAACCTGGAACAGTTACCTATTTTCAATACCCTTAAGTTAATTTATGTGATATTTTTACTTATTCTAATTCTTAATCAACCCTATTTAAAAAATTCTTGAGATTGTTATCAATAGTTCATTGAATAATATTGTTGTATGAGATTTTACTGTTTAAATTCCAATCTGTTGTTCTTAAATAAAAATTCCCATAATTTTCTAAGTCACAAATGAATGTAATTAATTGATAATCCTTTGATAATCCCCTTGATCCAGGTAAAACTGTCTGTACTCTATAAACATGATAAACAACCCCTAAAGTTTAATGTGAAACTACCCAGCTTTGAAAGCAATAACTGACGTAACCCCCTCAATATTGTAACACCTTCTCCCCATAGAAATCAAAGCCAGGGACCATAAAGCCATAATTGACAAAAGCATAAACAGCAAGGCTTTGTCATAAGCAGGTCTATAAATTCACACAATGGGACCCAATAAAAACTTTCAATCTGGACAAATTGGTGAATTATGATGGTCACCTGATAAAAATACATGTTCCTGCTAAACGCACTAAGTGACAAATAAAAGAGACCCTCCTGGGTGTCCTAGCTGAATGTCACCTTGGGGCCACAGGTCGTGAAGAGAATTGGGGGGTCATAAAAGATTGTGGGAGGATAAGGTGTCTAATTAGCCCTGCTATTTTATGATTACCTGATTATCTTAAAAGATTAACTGTTATAATTGTTTTTTAACTGGCCATTTGCTACCTTGTGTTGGCAAACTATCAATTATAGGCTTGACTTCGTGCTGTCAAGATTTTCAGCTGGTCAACTCGAAAAAAGAATTTGCCAAAAAAAAAAATATTTAAAAATTCATTACACAACTGATAATTCTTATTTTAAAAACATGCAAACACATATTGAATTAAATCATTTTTAAAATATATAAGTGAAATCTTCCTTATCAAATAACAAATTTTAATATATACATAATTATACACTGATTCAGTTGAATTTTTATGTTTCGCTATATAGTGTCCATTTCAAAATGTATGCTCAAATAATTTCCCAGTATTTACTGGACATTTAAAGCTGTGTTTGTCACTTTTATTTCAATATTTATCAAGTATTTAGTTCAATATTTCATTCATATCAGAGGGCCTTTCACACAGAAAAGCTAGTTTTCAATGATACCAGATTTGTTCAAATAGGAACTACAGTATATATATAGATATGGAACCTTGTATCAACTTCATCTATTGTACAGAGTTCTGTATAGTGGGAATCTATTTGAATTTCCAAGAGTGACCAAGTAATGTACCAGATTAAAAAAAAAAAAATCTAGTGAATTTCTGCAGGAAAAACTACAAGTAGAACAATTTTCATATTTGCAATCTGACTTTTGACAAATTTCATAGGTTATATCAAAAAAAAAATCTGTGCTCTCTCTCTCTCTCTTGAACAGGGACCTAACCTTATTCTAATATATAGGTCCCTGCTCTTGACTCTCTCTCTGTCTGTGAACATCTGTTGTTTGTATATTGGACCCCTCACCCTCGCCCCCCTGTGTAATATATTGTCTCCCTAAATCAATCCATACAATCACTATATCACTGACAGGCTACATGTAGATCACAGGATATATACACAGAAAGGATTAACATGTAGATTAGCATCTATAGCCATTGCCTCAGGAGAAGATCTTTACAATCTCATTTACCAGAAATCTACCCGAAAATTGACTGATCATCATCATTTATTAATTTGAACATGATGAGCCTCTTAGATATTAATTTTCAGAGGTGTATATCATAATTTATTGAATATGTGGTGGAAAATGATATTTATATATACTACAAGTCGTACAGCATATGTTCATCTAAATCCTATGCTTTCTATCTATCCAATTTAAAATAATTTCCTCTTTTTTTCTAAAAATTCAAAGTCTAAAGTATCATATTACTGAAATCAGACAACATAAAAAGATTTCAGCATATACCCTTAACTTGGTTTATACCTTTCAGTAGGTGGTTTAACGGGGGACCGTTATATATTTTATTTATTCTAATGGCTGGGTACCTTTTGGAAATCAGCCAGGTTTGATTTTTTTTTATCAATTGAATGCATCATGTTGGTCTAGCTGTGCATAATATGTCAAGAAATGGTTCCATACATGTATATTTTTTCCTTCATGTGTCAATAAAAATTAAAAATCTATAAAGATCTGTCTGCTAAAGTTTACTTTTGTTATAGGGCAAACTAAACCCATCTTCTGTGTAAATTAACACCAAAGAATTTCTACTGCCGTAACCTGAAATGCTTTAGAATGCTCCACCTTTTTCTATGGTATAACGGATGTTCAAATTATGGTTTGAAGATAGGTAGAATTAGAAGCTGCGGAGATATATTTCGCTCCTATCTTAAAACTAAAGCAATGAACAGCAGGAGAAATACAAGACCAAACTCAAAGAAGCTGGGCAGGCAAGTGTAAAAAATAACATCAACAAGCACTTACAGATAACACTATAAAAATTTCCCAAACTTCCACAAGTTTTGAAACCTGTGATCTTGTCCATTTTATGAAGTGTGTTAGCTGACACACTTATGCAGATTTCTGTGAGAGAATTTCATCTCCAGCACCTGTCCAAAAAATTTCACCTCTTGCATATTAGCTTAAGACTCACCTCCAAAAATGAAGTTCGAAGCCTGGACATAATTCTCGACAGTTTGAGCATGGTTTTCCTGCTGAAACTTGGTGTGCAAGGGGTGGACTCTGAAATACAGGCATCATTTGTTAAATAAAATTGTTCTTTTTGTTCTTTTAAATTAATGCACATTCATAAATGCAATCATCTGATCATCATTGTATTAAAGTTAAAGAATACATGCTAGCATGCAAAAATGCCAACAAACATTTTCATGAAAAGATCGCTTTGTTTGCTAAATAAGAATAAAATCTAATTCAGAACTTTCAGCATATTCGATCTCCCCCTACCGTGTTATAAGTTTTTGGGATGACCCCCGTGTCTAATATCGGTCTCTCATCCTCCTTCACCAAAGAATCTCCAATATTAGCCATGATAAAAACAAACACACAAGACAGAAATCACACTAAGTAATTAAAAAATCCCGATTAAAATCCTACAAAGTTGCCATGTAGAATATTACACCCATTGCGTTCCCTCATCTAGCGGGTTTTCACGTGCAACTAAAATAAACCCTCAAAACTCGTCCCTTTCACAGTGCGATTCGCTAGTTTCTCTTTCGAAGGCGGGATTAAATAATATATAAAATCCAAATCAATTTCTATGTTTTAAAATCCATACAGATAGGGTGATACATTAAAATTGTTTACACCATTTCTATTCATGTGGTGTTTTAAAATAAACATCATTAAGATCACACATCTTGTCTCCTCAGGTAAAAATCACGATTTGTTTTCAATGCGGGTTCAAATAAGCTAAGCCCCGCCCACAGACCAAAGAAGGGCACTCGGAACCTCTTACGCTTTTCCCATAATTATGACAATCTCAGCTTTTGCTGATTTTTTCAAGAAAAGAGAGATAAGTCATACATAACCAATGTTGCAAGATTATCGTGACTATCGAAAATTCATCAAAATTTAACATAATGATTTTATTTTTCATAAACCTTGGTCTTACAGATATTTTGATTAATTAGAAAAAAAATTAAACTTCAACCAAATCACTTAAAAACAACAAGAACAATAGCAAAGAAAATGCAAACAAATAATATAAATAATTCTTTAAAAATAAATTAGGAAAAAAAATATGAAGAAAGTTTTATTTGAACCCATTGAAAGATGCACATTTTGCCCTAATTGTTTTTGATTGATAAAAAGATATAATCTAAGGTAATCCTTAAAATAATAAGGTTTGTTTGACCTTTACCATGTTTAACCCCCCCCCCCCATTCCCCCCCCCCCCCCCGAAAAAAAAGTGGGTAAGAAAGCTTTTTTTGTAACAGGTGGTCCAGTATATTTTTATTAATATCTCATGTCAATTTATTTAAACACGCTTATTTATTAAATAATGACGACCAGAAATACTAGTAGTCGGCAGTGCCTCCCCCCCCCCCCCCCGTCACAATTTTAGATTTTTTTTAGTGATCTAACTAACACTCCTCCCACTTACCCCCTCCCTCAGTACCCTACCATAAAGGATTTTTTCTTTCACTATTTTTTAAAAAAATATTTTCCACGCATTGTCTCTTTGAAATTTAATTTTTTTTGCTTGAAATTTAACAAAATATTTTTCATTCACCTATTCTTTTTATGCACCTCTAAATGCCCTTCAATTTCTGGGTACCGAAAGTATAATTTTAAAAGAAATCCTTTATCTTTACTTTGATTTAGATTAGAATTCAGATGTATTTGAAAGACTGCAATTAGCCTTGTCGACTCTGATTTTTGTTGCATCTATCCACTAAATGACTGATGAAAATTCAAGATATTTACCTTTTAACCACCAAAATATGTGTCTGAGAGCTATTATACTTAATATTCAATAAAATTCACCTTTTGTCCACTTTTTCAGAGAAATAAAAACAGAATTTGAAGAAGACCGTGTACCTTACAAAATGTACCTTACCTGTGCGTGGGAGGATACACCGTTCAGACTGCTCAGGTACCTCTCCACTACTGCCATGTAAGGTAGATCGTACCCCAGGGGCTGACGTTTATACCGGTCAGCCATGGAATTCAAATCCCCTCAAAACTTTTTAAACACTTGGAAAAAAATATCTTGATTCACATTGAAGCGCTCATTAAATTTGGTTGGAAATTGAGATTTTCCAGTATGAAAAAATGAAATTTTCAGGGCCAATGCCACAAAAAGTCTATCACTCTTTCCCCAAGCTCAGCTTATAGTTTTCCCCGGTTATTAACGGATTTAAAACGATCCGATATCGTCGGCAGAATAGGTCCGGATTTTATTTATTGCATTTAAGCACTGAGTATAAAATCCACATTACACAATGTTTATTTAGTACATCTATTAGCCGGTAACCTGATTTTGTCTTTTTGAGATTGCAGAATGTGGCCCCTAAATGGTCGTAACTTTGACAAGAGCGCGTAAAATAAGAAACCGCACTAATGGAAAAATCACCATTTCTTGCCAAAAATACGACAGTTTTAAACCATTTCCACAAAAAATATCTTTTTCCATGAATTATATATATGTTTTCCGAAAGAACAAAGTTTATATGGCAGCGGATACTGATATCTTTTTCTCCCTGACGAAAGAGTAATTCAAAGATTAGTTCTAAGAGAAGAGGTAGATAATTTCCGAGGTCTATAATTTCATTAACATACTAATAAGATTTAATGCCTTGTAATTAAGTTAGACCCACATTCTGGCAGCGGTTGGCAAAACAGGATTATAAAACTGACCTACTGTAGTATTCAACCAGTAAACTTGGTAAGTGTGGTATACCGCGATTATGAGCTTAATTAATACCGCAGCAAAGCAATCAATTGGCGGATCAAGAAATTTGTAAACTGATAGGGATGGGATGTGGCGTGAAATATGAAAGCCATATATAGCTCCAATCAATTAAAAGTTATGGACAAGGTTAAAGTTTTTGCAAACAAACAGATAAAAAGACAGACAAACGGACTAAACTATAAACCCCGAATCTTCATTTACGGGGGGTTAAAAATCTACTAAATATTTATATTGTAAAATTTACAGATTAAAGTGTAAATTTTACAGATGAAATGTAACTTTCATAGATAAAAGAGTAAATTTTAAGAATGACACGTAAATTTTACAGACGAAATTTTGGAAAATGAAAAAAAAAAACTAGAGGTACTGTGAGCAATGAGCTCACTAAATGATACCCCCCGCCTCCCATATGAATATAATGGCAGTGTCCATGTTTTGCTCTGGAAAATCAAAAATATATGTCAGATCAAAAAGTAAAATAGGAGGTGCACAATGGCAATATGTAATTAAGAATCTGTGAAAGTTTCATTAAATTTCCTTCAGTGGTATGAGAGGAGTTGCGGATGAGAGATGGGTACCCCAAAGCGTAACAGACGGACGGACGGACGGACGGAAATACTGATTACTATATACCCTCCCACTTTTCAAGCGGGGGGTATAACAAGATGTGTTTGTGAAACACTGTGCGCCCAGCGGCAACAAAGTTCGAAAAAAAAGTTATTTTTAGCATATAGGTCACCGTCAAGATCACAAGTTATGCATACCAAATATGAAGTCTCTATCTCTCATGGTTCAAAAGTTATGATGAAGGTTCAAACAAGCTATTTTTAGCATATAGGTCACAATCAAGGTCATAAGATCGTAGACTTTGGTGTCATTTGAATAGGCTTAATGAATGGAGTAAGCATACCAAATATTAAGTCTCTACCTTTCACGGTTCAAAATTTACGGCGAAGGTTAAAGTTTGCTGAAAAAACTATTTTTAGCATATAGGTCACAGTCAAGGTCACAAGGTCATTGAACTTGGTGTCATTTGGAAGAACTTTATTAGTGGAGTATGCATACTACACACGAAGTCTCTATCTTTCATGGTTCAAAAGTTATGGTGAATGTTAAAGTTTGCAGACAAACAGACACACAGACAGAACAAAAATAATATACACCCCGGATCTATCGAAAATCAAATTGACACTGATATACTTCCGTATATTTCAAACAGCGAAGCTGAAATGTTATATAACTTATAATTGCTTTAAAAGGACTCATGCTGTGTGCAATAAACACTGTATACAAAGTGCTAATCGAAAATCTACTTGATTTGGATCACTAGCTATATTTGTTTGGATCATTCGAAGTTTCTGTCTGCACATTTAGACAAAAAATGTCTTTTATATACGTTTTCTTACTGATAATACACAATTTCAAACAATATGAGACTTATTCTTGGTATTTTTAAAGATTATCATACTTTTGTGTCATCTACCCCTCCATAAACATCGGTAGCACGCATTTTTCACGCATCTGATGGTCATTTTTCCACTAATCATCCACTGGAATGGACTGTTGACATTATTTCAATAAAACATTTATTGTTATGTGTAATATGAATCTTTATCAAACGTAAGCTATCAAATTTGACCACAAAGTCTTCTTTATATCTTGACAATTACATCAAATATGCACCTACCCAACTTTTCCAAAGCTATTTTAGGTTTAAGTTAGGTACGAAGGACAGTACAAACACACAGGCACCTGGCGTTACTTATTTTTCTTTTAATAAAAAAAAATTATACCCATACCTAATAACATTTTGAACCTTTCGTGAAAGTATCTTTTTAAAATTTCTAATGGAAAAAACTGTCATGACGTTTTTATTTCGTTAATATACTAGTATATGTTTAGTTCCATTTTTTCATTCCGGAATAAAGGATGGCTCCAGCATAAATTTCTTCGGGAAACGGGCGGGGGTTACATTGTTGTCCATAGCACTAAAAGATTCCAACACAAATACCCTACTTTATGGTTGGGGATGGGGTCGGCTTAATTGGTGGACAAGCCACATTCTTCCATATATATTCTCATTTTTCCTATCAACTTATGACAGTCATTCATCAACAAAAACATACCAAATTGAGAATTTTAATGTCACTCACCAATTTACATTTACTATTGTAAAATTTTAAACAATTTTAAAGATCGATTTCAATTCTTAGACTTTACATATACACATGCATGGTGTTGTAAATATTTAGTGGTACATGTATATATATGCATTCAAAGTTTTGATATGAAAAAAATAATTAATACGCATTCAACTTCAAATCTTAATGCCGCTTCGTTCATTTACTAATTTCAATTCAGCCAAATAAGCGTTAAGAAGAGATTACATGGAATATTAAAAATCTTTTCATGTGATAAAAAGAAAACAAACGGTTACCACATTTCTCGAAGAATATTCTTAAATTTTAGTGAATCTGAAAAAATTATGTCTTGATCCCCTGACCTATATCCGCTGTTCTGGATCTGTCTGTGGAGATATAATGACAAATTTTAATTAACCTTTTATCTTCATAGATTCTGTTTCAGGCCTGGGGGCCATAAAACTTAAACGAGCTCAATTATGAGCTCAGTCTCACTTTTCCACTTTAATAGCCTCGGAAAGTGAAACTGAGATTAAAAGTGAGATCGTCTAAGTTTTATGGCCCCCAGGCCAGATTCTTAGTTTTCAGTTCTGATGTCAGATTATAGTGTGAAAATGGGTGAAATATTACAAAGTTGCATTATAATCTCCTTATCATAGATTTATAAAAGAGAGAGAAAAGTGTATAAGGCGAAGACAATCACCCGCTCTATGACGGAAAAGTTTTATTTTTCTAAAATTATGTTGTCGGTAATGTCATCTTCAACATATTAGATTCATATATTGTACTGAAAGACATATTGATTGAAAATTGTTTTTAGAATTTTTTAGTCAAAAATGGGTACGTATATATATTAAATGATTCTAGCTATAAAAATTTATTTTTGAATATGAACGGATCAGGTTTCTATTTGAAGTCTTGTGTTTAAATTACGGAAAAGTAAATGCATTGTGTGAGTGTGTGTTTTTTTAATGGCGCCTGAACCCATTCTATCTAAAAGTCTAATATTTCTGAAACAAGAGGCCCAGGGGCCACATCGCTCACCTGAGCAATTGGCTAGGAAAAAGCACATATCAAATCAGAACTGAAAGTTTACTGGGGGGGGGGGGAGGGGGCTTGAATTTTAACCCCCCAGGGAGTCATGATTTGGACACACTAGAATCTACACTACCTGAGGATGATTCCCTATAAATATCACTAAGCATGGCTTTGAAGTGCTTGAAAAGAAGATTTTAAAAGGTTTCCCAATATATTCCTATGTAAAACTTTTATCGGTCATTTTGGCCCTACCCTACCCCCAGGGGGTCATGATTTGAACAAATTTGAATCTACACAACCTGGGGATGATTCCACAGGAGTTTCATCTTTCCTGTCTCGATGGTTCTTGAGAAGAAAATTTTTCCTATATATTCCTATGTAAAACTTTGATCGGCCATTTTGGCCCCATCCTACCCCTGGGGGTCATGATTTGAAAAAACTTGAATCTACACTACCTGAGGATGATTCCACATGAGTTTCATCTTTCCTGGCCCAGTGGTTCTTGAGAAGAAGATTTTTAAAGATTTTTCCTATATATTCCTATGTAAAACTTTGATCGGCCATTTTGGCTCCACCCTATCCCCGGGGGTCATGATTTGAACAAACTTAAATCTACACTACCTGAGGATGATTCCACATGAGTTTCATCTTTCCTGGCCCAGTAGTTCTTGAGAAGAAGATTTTAAAAGATTTTTCCTATATATTCCTATGTAAAACTTTGATCGGCCATTTTGGCCCCACCCTACCCCCAGGGGTTATGATTTGAGCAAACTTGAATTTATACTACCTGAGAATGATTCCACATGAGTTTCACCTTTCCTGGCCCAGTGGTTCTTGAGACGAAGATTTTAAAAGATTTTTCCTATATATTCCTATGTAAAACTTTGATCTGCCATTTCGGCTCCACCCTATCCCCGGGGGTCATGATTTGAACAAACTTGAATCTCCACTACCTGAGGATGATTCCACATGAGTTTCATCTTTCCTGGCCCAGTGGTTCTTGAGAAGATTTTTTAAAAATGCCATTATTTTTTCTCTTAATTCATAATTATCTCCCCTTGGAAAAGGGCGTGGCCCTTCATTTGAACAAACTTGAATCCCCGTAGCAAGTTTGGTTGAAATTGGCCTAGTGGTTCTTGAGAAGAAGATGAAAATGTGAAAAGTTTACGACAACGACGACGACGACAACGACAACGACAGACGACGGACAAATTTTGATCAGAAAAGCTCACTTGAGCCTTCGGCTCAGGTGAGCTAATAAAAAAAAAGTGACGATAATGAGGATTGATTGAGGAGGGCATAAATACGGACCCCCCACCCCCGGGATACCAGAGATGGAATCAGGTGCCTAGGAGGAGTAAACATTCCTTGTTTACCGGTCACATCCGCTGTGAGCTCTATGTATTGATCAAGTAAACGGAGCTTTTCGTAATCTTTAGTATAAAAACAAAGGTATAACAGTTGGGTGAAAGAAGTAAGCCAAAAACGACCAAAGATAAATTAAATGATATGTTGAAAAACATTATTTGTCTCAGCAAATTCGTTTCTTTAAAGCAAACTGACACACAAACATCAAGAAGACACCGTAGCATATCGTGGTGAACGCATTCAGTCTTACGCCTATCATGAGCTTTGGAAAAAGTTCGAATAGTTTGTGAAGCACTTTTTTCCGTTTTACAATATACCTTTAAAACATAAGTGAAGATACATATCGTGTATTTATCAATAAGTTATTTAATAACATAAACTTGAGACAGTGTCTTTGGATTATACTTCCCCTATATACGCCTCCATTCTTCAAGAAGTATTCTAGGCAAATCAAACATACATGTATAGCATTTCTGTATCAATCGCGACAAAACGCAAATCAAGTATCGCACAAACATCAGCAATGATTGCACATTTCATCAAATTCTATAATTATTTATTTCTGTTTAACTTCTTTCGACTGATCAATGTTTCTCTTGTGATAATGAATGCCAATATTTTTTTTTCAAAACTGTTTAAATCGCGATAATTTTATCAAAAAACAATAAATCTTAATTTCATGCAAATCACAAAAAGGATCCTAAAAAAGTATAGCCATAGCAAAAATTATGTTGCAAATATATTATAGCATTCACTCAAAACAAGAATAGCTCAATTTCTCTAAAAAACGTAATTTATAGAAATCAGATGATGTTTCGTGGGTAAATTGAGGCGAAAACTTAGATACAATAACTTTTACAACAGAATATAGTTTGAAAAAATTAAGAACAATTGAAATAATTCAAAATGAGCGAAAATCCCATTTTAACTTAGTAAATGAGAACGGTATCGAATTTCTATTATGTCTCAACTTAAAAATTTTCTCAAATAAATTTAAATTGATTCTATAAAGGTTTAATAAGTATTCTAATTTCTTAAAGTTACTTTTACCCATATTTTGCCTACAGAATTTTCTTTTTTACCCATATTGCATCAGAGTACCCAAAGCAATATAGCAAGTGATCCAAATCAAGTAGATTTTCGATTAGCACTTTGTATACAGTGATAAAGAACCATGATATTTGGAATTTTAAAACTTGTATATTTTGTATGAAAAATTAACCCTCACGTACAGGTGTATATGTATACCTGTATTTCATACCTGTATTTCATAGAGGAGACACGACAAATGTGCAATATTTCTCGTTTATTTATCAGTAATCAGGTTGTATGTTTTAAATATAAACCATGAACATATTATTATACACTAATATGTAAAATGGAAGACAGAATAAAAGAGATAAGGTTTGAGTAGTTTTACATGTACATCTATACAAGTTGATGTAAAGATAACACAAAATGAGATCATCAAACAAAGAGACCAACGAGATCGAAATATCGATTGCCTAAAAATATTATTTTTAAGAATTACATACATAAAATTCATTTTGCATCAACAAATAAGAAAAAAAATAATAATTAAGAAAGTACATTATTATCTAAGTTGAAGACTTCTTAGACAAACTGCCATAGTGATAATTTTTGATATTGTAAATTTTGCATTTACTGCCACTCCGTAAATTCAAGCATAAATACAAAATAATGTACGTTTTATCACTCCCTTTCAATACACAGACATTGTCACAACTTCTTACAAGTAAACATGACTATTCGCTATACATCCGTCATTTCGTTCCCTTTTATAACTTTGTTAGAAATATTTACAATCAACACGTCTTTTTTCTTCTCGCAGAAGAAGTTTCCATTCAGCATAGTAACACTTCCTGGGTCCATGCGATCTGATGGATGAGAATTTGCTCTCATTTCAATACCCTGACTTTCAGGTTGCTTTGAAATTGGGACGATATCAGCCACTGGCCAGTTTTGTCTATGCTCTCTTATGATGTCATCAAAAAGATTCCGGAAACTCAGACTATTTATGTCAACTTCGATGTCAGCGGGAGGCTTAAAAAGAACGTTCCGGAAGACCCATGGTAAAAATCCCCCGGCAAGTGTTGCCAGCATTTGATTGACACCAGAAACCGAATATTCATTTCCAAACGCCATGACAACAACAACGACGAATAAAAGAAACAAAATAATCACCAGAAACTGACGCAAAGCACACAGCAGGTTTTTATAGAGACTTCCGGGGCAGCCCACATGATTAAGGTGAGCAGCCTTAAAAAAGAAAGTCCTCGTGATATATGGTTTATCATGATTATCTAGAAATAACAGAACGCGAGGAATACTCCATTTAAGAACTCCATTACACATATGAGCGAAAATATTTTTTGCCACGGTTTTATTTTCATGATCATCAACACTTATCTGAAAGGCGGTGTTCGGCTGCATGTCAGCAGTCTGCCAGGCCACTTTGTCGACCTCGTCTTTTACCCTTCCAAGAAGTGCTTTATTTATGGCTTGGTTGAAAGCTTGGTACTTCCGCGTCACGCTCCCAAAACAATCTCGAGCGTACAAGGTTAGCATGAAAAGTAAGGATACGTATTTCAATGTTTGAGAAGCATTCAGGATGACGCCAATCAACGTGTATACTACGATTTCAACAAAAAATACGATGACTTCTACTGCCAAAATTACACAGGAGAGCAAAGCAAGTAAGCTCAACAAAATGGCAATAAACTGAATGACACGGAATCGGTGACTGGATTTGGTAGACAGGCGTGCAACAGTTTCTTTTCGGAGAAGGCCAACTACTCCAACTTGTTGTTTTAATTTGGTTACGAATTTAAAGTCTGGAAAAATTACAATTATCAAATGGCACAATAAACGTACTGCAATGTTGAGTGTAGGTATGCAATAAAATGCCATGACTATGATAACAACTGGTAAAACAAATAGCCAGTATATTCCAATGACGAAAAGGGCAAGAATTCCATACTCCTTGAAAGGGTAAAGCAAAGTTCTTATTGCCCATCCAAAATATCTCGAATAAGAGGACTCTTTCATGTCTCGGAAGCACTTCCGTAAAACTATTTCAATGTTGCTTTTCACTTCAGATGTTATGAATTCTAGAATTCCAAACAGAATAGCGTCTACTACAAGCACAGAGTAGCAGACGACGAAAATAGCATGCACTGGTGTTAAAAAGCTCGCCATGCTTCCCGGAAAAAATGCGTAGTGCACTTCCAACTTCCGGTCTTGTGCAGCGTCATCCCTATCATCATATTCATTGTCTTCATACCGATAGAAAATGGCGATTCTTAATATCCACGGAATGATGACCAAACAGCAAGACACGATGAACATGACTCTTTGTAAGCAGTGATACCACTTCAATTGTCTGAAAATTGGGGTTCCCTTAAAAGGTTCGAATATACTACGGGTACAACATTCGTTTAAAGAATCTCTTTCTCTAATTTGACAACGAAAGAAGGAATCATAGATGGATCTTATAATACCGACTGGAACATCATTTGGAGGTATCAGACGATCAAGCTTCACGCTGAAGTGAATCTTGGAAAGATGAAGTGAATAAACAGCATCCTCCTCCATTTCATCCAGTTGCTGCATAAACCCATTCATCGAAGATATTTCATTTATATTCACGATGTTGTCCTCTGTTGTATCGAGATTCTTAAGGCAAGTTTTCATCACCCGGATTTGTTTCTCACAATTAAGTTCGTACTTCAACATTTTATACTTTTCCTGATACCAAGACTTAGGTATGAGATAAGGACAGAACATAATTGCAAGCATATTCATAAAGTATATGCAAAAAAACAGAATTTTGACGTACAAGTCTTTTACCAATTCCTGGCAAACGATACCGCCTTTTGAAGATTTTGTGCAACAAACGTGGTAAAACACTGCTCTGTTGTTCTCGTTTCTAATGTGCATGTTGCAGATGTGTTCATTGTCATCAAGACTTCCGCCACTTCCATCAGGCGAAATTTCTTTGAAATCATTCAATAAGATTTGTCGAAGTCCCTTCTCGATGTCGTGTATATTTCTCCGCAATAAACACCCTTCTGGTTCTTCCCTTAGTTCGACACGCATGTTCTCAGTGCCATATGTTAAAGTCGAAAGTGAAAGAATTTCGAAACCCGTCTTTAAAAACAACAAGCCTTGACCATGCCGACCTGTACTTCTTTCCCATTGAAATATTTTGTAAATATCTGACTCCGTTTCTCCTCGAAGTGTTCCGGAATGATTGCGAAATTCCAGATCGAATATTATAAGTTTAGTTCCGGCGTCTAGGAGTTCTTTGATATCATGTCGTAACATATCAGACACTGGTATCACTGTGCAGTTCCTGGATAGAGTCACAGAAATGTCTGATTGAAAAGAAATCGTCTCTGTGGTGTTCATCAGCGCAATTTGATCTTCAGAATTATTGCTGGAACCCAAAGCTGGTCGAAAACAGACAGAGACGAACGCAACAAACACAAGTACATGTATATCCATTTTGCAAAGTGTTTTAGTTTCAGTTTAATGGTATAAACCTAAACTCCGTAACATGTACAAGGCATTTAAAATACTGGTGTGGTGCAACGAATTTTGATCAATCAAGCGGAAATTTAAACTTTCCTGAAGAGTTAATGAATAAACATTAAAGGGTTCATTGACGCAAAGCAGTCACACAGCTATTAAGCGTATCAATATAGGTCTAACGTCTGAAGTGCAATAAATAAAAGAAATTGTAAAGTTATATAACAGAAGATAGACCATTTCGGAAAACATGCATTTATTAAGGAGAGGCGCATTAACCGTCTAGTTCACTTTTGTCTCTAAGGCTATCGTGTTTCCCATTGTAGCAAATTTGTTCTAAATAAATATATTTTTGAGAATTTTCAAATATATTTCTATTGTAAAACTTTGATCTATCACGCAAGGCTTACACTATCTGGGGATATTTTAATTACATGAACTGAGTATATACATGTATCTCTCGTGCTCTCCAGTTTAGCAAACTTGAATCGTCTTTAACCACGTGTACGGGCGCTTTGTGGTGGAAGGGTTCTTGAGAAGTATAGTGGAAAATGTGAAATTTCGTAATTTCCATGATAAATTGGCACCTCCCTTAGAAATATGATGATTGACACAAATAAAAATTGAATTTAAAACATCCATTTATATGACAATAACTTAGACAAATAATTAGGGACAATTGGGAACCTCATTTTTAAGATAAGTCATTAAACTGGTTCCATTTAAATTGACACAGTTTCCATAAAACGAGGGGATGCCCTTCCATGACTTCATCCATCCTAAACTGGCACATGTGCATTCCACTGGAGATGACGTCATATCCACCGTTTGTAGAGACTGTGCCTTCAGAAGTGCTTTTGGGATGGTGGTGAGGTTAGTATGATCCAGAAGTAAATCACCAAGTCGTTTATTGTTCATAAATGCATTTTCTGAGATCTGAGTCAAGGGATTGTAACTAAGAAAGAGGACGCCCAGATTGAAAAATCTGCTGCAATCATTGTCCTGAATTTCGAATATTTGACTGTTTGTTATACTCAAGGCCTGCAAGGAGTCTAAATTTGATAAAACAGATGGTATACGTGTTAATCTTGTACCATTAAAGGGCAGATAGTACAGGTACTTGCTGAAATCTGGCGGGAAGATGTCACCACGAAGATATTCTATGGGTTCATTATTAACATAAATTCTTCCAATTTTATCCGATTTTGAAAAGATACTTGGAAGAGTTGTTAATCCATTGTCTTCAAATTCTATAGACGTTAGAAATGGAAGTCCTTCGGTTATAGACTCCGTAATTGAATTTGCTGATAGTTTCTTATTTCCTTGAAAAGTCATGGTGGAAATCAGTCTGCAGTCGTTTAAGGAAGAGGGTAACTTTGTTAAACCAGTATTGTAGAAGTTAAGGAATGTCAAATTATTTTTGTACAAAGCAAACACATCGTCTGGCAGTTCAGGAAACTGTACGTCGTATAGATCAATAGAAAAGAGATTGGGAAGAAGATGCATGGTTTTTGGCCATCTTGTCATCGACTCAGATCCGAAACTAAGCAGATGTAAAGAGGAGGAGAGGTTTCTCAACACATTTTCAGGAAAATCCGAAATTGGATTTCCTTGAATTGAAATTGCAATCAGTTGTTTAAGCTTTGCAATGGCACTGGGTAACTCTCTGAGTTTGTTATATTCCAGATGAAAAAAGGTTAAGGTATTTTCACTTCCTAGAAATGCATTCTCTCCAATTGTACTAATGGCGTTGTTTTCCAAAGAGAGAAAATTGATACTGACACCAGAAAAATAATTTTCAGGTATAGTTTCAATCCCATTGCCGTCTAGGTAAAATGTCCATTTTCCTTCTGATTTTTGGATAGGCGGAAGTGACGAAAGATTTTTGTTGCTACAGTACACAGTCTGTTGATTTCCGTTACATTCACAAGGCAGAGGAAGTGGACAGTCTGGAATTATATCTACTCCGTATATGGTATTAATACAGTTACCAAATATCATGAAAATGGCTGTCACCTGAAATGAAAGGATTCTTAAATAAATCATTGAATAAAAGATTTATCACTCCAGATTAATGATTTGAAGATTCAGTAAGCCACTTTTAGAAAATAAAAGGAAACTAGCAGACATACTTACTGACTGCGAATATCTTGCCATGTTTTTCTAAGATTAGTACATGTACGTAATTGTGTAGTTGAAAAGTAGATCAGTGTTGATAAGAAATATGAAAATTGACAATGCTCCCACAGTATGTTTATATTATGAATATTTTTACTCATGTCATACAATTTGATAATGTATTTTCTTTGTTTTAACTAATTTTTTGCCTACCTTTTTGACACTTAAATCTTTAACTATATCAAAACCATTCTTTTTCAAATTATATGATTAAAAATGAACAAGTCGAATCCTGGGGTAAAATGAATACCTAAAGAAGTATTTTTACTTACATTGTAGCTTTAATTGACATTTTAGCGAGACGCAAATTTTTAGCGATTTGTCCTAAATTATTGGTACATGTATTTTACTTTTAGCGAGACATATTTTTAAAATTCTCATTTAAGAAACTATTTCAAATAAAACGCATTTATTTTTTAGCGATATTCAATTTTAGTGATTTCAGTACCCTCGCTAATAATGCCAACATTAAATCTCCGCTAAAATTACTGCCTATACGGTATAAACAAGCTTTATTGGTAATTTTAAAAAAAATGAAACCTGAAAATGTCAATTAAAGCTACAATGTAAGTAAAAATACTTCTTCAGGTATCCATGTTACCCCAGTTGTAGACATTCATTTTTAATCATAAAACCTGAAAGGAATGGTTTTAATGTTGTTACTTGGGATACATTTTAACATATGCATATTATGTTTAAATACAGTTAAGAAATAATACCGCAGACATTATTCTCCAATAAGGCACGAACGACATCAAACAATAATAACGAGAACTTTTCACTCATGTGGAGACGCCACCACACTGTCCGATGGAGAGCTGCAAATCTTGTCCTGTACTCAGCACTAATGGCTATCGAGTAATGAGGGATCTTTTCGTGCAAGCACCTACTGCAACATGGGACCTCGGTTTATTCGGTCTTGTCCGAAGGACCGGTCTCCACGTCCCGCAGTGGAGTTCTAACCCGAGACGTAAGGATTGGCTCCTTACTTGGCGGCTCTAGAACAGACGCCTTCACCACTGCGCCACGCGGGCGACTAAGATAAAAAGGAATATAAAATATCTTATACAGACCATACTAGTATTATGTCTTTTGCAGTATAAGCTTTGTGCATTGCCTAAAATAGTTGATTAATGTCTTTTTGTTACAGCTAAAGTGATTTTTTCCCGAATCTTCTTACAATTAATATTCACACATTGATTTTACAGAAAAAGACATTTCTTGGAAAACTAAAAAATGTTCCGACATTTAGGATATGGAGAGATCTCTATATCCTACATTTGAATTTGACAGATTTTTATAGGAACAATAGGCATAATATCCCATTAAGATTTATCTTTCTTACCAGTGAATATCCACGAACAAATGTTGAGTTTAGTTTAATGCAAAATCTAAAAAAAGGTAATTTTGCATGAATCTCCATTGAGTAAAATTCAAAATTAACGACATGATTGATACATTGTATTGTTCAAGCTTTTTTTTTTCTATTCAAATGTCGTTTGTATGGAATATGTCCCAAAAACTCATTTTACACTTGTGACTTAAGTATCGAATCGTGTTATAATAACATGTTTAAAACTACTTAAGCCTTGTTGTCACATAAATTCATGGGTATAAAAATGTCATTCTTGTGTAAAAATATGATCCCTAACTTATTTTGCCCAGTATACAAGAGAAAAGCAGAGTTGTTAAAATGTAAATAAACCTTACCAGCCGTATCAATTTGAATTTTTTAAAAAAATCAATTTTAGTTGCCATGAAAATATATAATGTCAGTCTTTTTTACAAGGTAGATTTTGAATTGGAGGATTATTATCAGGGAAAACTGACTGCCAAAAAGTAAAAATTGTTGTTTAGTAAAAGTGTTGAAGGGGGAGTCGCTGCATCCCCTCTTACCACCCTCTTAACACAAGAAAATGTTTATTGCTTATGCTTATGTTTCATTCACATGAAAAAGAAGTCATAGTCGTTTAAATATCTTTCCATTACAATTTGTATCAATTTTGAATTTCCCTATCTATTTTTAGATCAATGTAGAGGAAATAAATCCTTGTATTCACCTGGAACGTCACGTGCAGGTCAATACAACGTAGTATTTTTTAAACATAGTTGGATCGCAGCCAATCAGAGAGATGGAAATTGTTCAATCGTGTAATATTAAATGTCTTAATATCGAGTTGAAGACCACAGCAAATGTTTCCTTCTTTTCACGTAAAAGATTTTGAACAACTTCTGCTTCATATGAATAAAAAAAGTCTGCTAATAACGGGCGCAATTGGTACCCATGGGAATTCCATTAGATTGTTAGAAGACATGGTGACCGAAAACCATATACATGTAGATATTGTCAATTAGAAACTCGAGCATTTTTTATATATCAACTTCGGAGAACCTGTCATATGGAAATAATTTAGCAAATGACCAATGACAATGTAAGTAAATTTATGAGTTCAATTTTGTTTTTGAAAAAAAAACTCAGCTGTCAATCTGTCAATAATATCAAAAAGCCTGAAAAGTCGTGTTTTAATGCTGTTGATTTCAAATTTTCCGAAATTTCCTTGTTTTGAAGTATCCACATCTAATTAACACAATTTCTCGAATACATTGTTGCATTGTGCTCTTGACGTTTCTCCTTCACAACTGTTAATATTTTAGTGAGAAGTAAAGAAAGAAGCTTGGTAGAACATTTATTAAAACTGGCTATGTATCTTTGAAAGGATGTAGATTTAAAACGTCTTACAAAATTCAATAAGAGACACCATAACTTAAAATGAAATATCAAATTAAAGCTAATTCACTATTAGTGAGAAGTAAAGAAAGAGGATTGGTAGAACATTTACTGGAACCGTCTATGTCTCTTTGTTTTTGAGGATGAAGATTTA